GCCAGTGCTAGGAAATGGCTTGGCTGCTTATACTCCTCAGCAACCCAGAGCAACCCAAATGGAGATCTCTAAGGCGTCAGTCTCAGGCAAACACAGCCATGCCACTCCAATAGTGCCACCTGCTGCATACTGGGAAAGTGTACAGGGCTCTGGAGCTCCAGGTAACTCGATTTAAAGATTGATTGACTGATTTTAAAAGAAATCACATGGTGTGCATGCATGAAAAAAGGAATTTATTTTTATTTATTAGTAATACCTAAAAGGAAGTTGTTCCACTATGCTGTAAAAACAGAACCTGTGGATAATCTGTTTTCAAATTTATCCCGGTGGCATAACAAGGATTAGCTGCACCAGCTCACTACACATCAAAGTCACAATTAACCTCATGTATTTTCTGATGTCATGGAGATTAGAGCTGCAATTTATTTTATTAATCATATCCTGGTTGCAAATTGTTCACAAAAAACACACACATGTATATATGTGTGTGTGTGTATATACAGACACAAGAGACATGACTTGATAGCAAAGTGTACCTGCATAAACACACATATCATATATACACAAACTCATATACAATTAGAGAGTCTGATTCAATCACATCTCAGACCCTGAGTGCAGTTTTGGGCCTGTCACGACAAGAAAGACTTTGCTGGAGTGTGTCCAGAGAAGAGCAGCTGAGCTGGGAATGGGCCTGAAGCACAGGTCTGATGAGGAGCAGCTGATGGAGCTGTGGGGGCTCTGTCTGGAGAAAAAGAGGCTCAGGGGGAAAAAGAGGTTCAGGGGGGACCTTCTCACTCTCTACAGCTCCTGTCAGGAGGTCATAGTGAGGTGGGGTCTCTAATCCTGGGTAACAAGTGGCAGGATGAGAGGAAATGGTCTCACATTGCACCAGGAGAGGTTCAGACTGGATTTAAGGATTTTTTTTTTTCATGGAAAGGGTTATAAAGCCCTTGGGTAATGGCACCTGAGAACATGGTTTAATGGTGAACGTGGTGGTGCTGGGTCAACTTGCTGATCTTAAAGCTTTCTTCCAGCCTTAACAATTCTGTGCAGACTCTGTTCACAAGTTTTCCCTGAGAAGCAAACAAACTGCAATGTATATAGGATTGGCTGAGCTAATCCTGTTTGCAGTTCCTCCTCTCTGCTGTACCACCTGGGCCCATTCCCTTTGTCTCACTGGCCATCTGGCTCCTTTACCTGCTTTGTGGTTCTGTTGCTTACCCATGGCACTGCTTGGGAGGGGACTGACTTGTGTAAACCACTCACGTGGATACGTGTGATGGCTTTTCCTGATGCTGACGGAATGGTGCAGCACAAATAATTAATAATAATTTCTGATCAGATATAAACTCATTACATGTTAAATGCTCTTCTAAGGAGAAGTGAAGCTCACATCTCTGAAGGCAGAGCCTGTGTTTCTGGTTTAAGGATGCCATCCCAGTAATTCCTCCTGCCACACACAGGCAGGCTGCACAAGTCACTTTCACAGGAGGTCAGAGAGTCAAACAGTGTGACTGGAATTTTAAAAAGGTTGGGTAACTTTTATGACCATTAATAATGTTTGTATTGAATGCCAGCTTCAACTGTAATGAGGTTAATTAAATCTCCTGTCCCAATGTATAAGCCAACTGCCTGAAGGTCCAGAGGCAGACTCCATGTGACAACAACTCAGAACACGGGACAAACAAGGCCATTGAGGCACTGCTTGCTAGAGAGCACCAGGCGTTTGTCACTGCTGAAGGCAGAGAATCAAAGTAGATCTAACAAAGCCATGATACATCAGAACAATTCTAACATGACACATGCTTTTTCTGAGGTAAAGAGAAGCCAAATTCATGAGTATCCACAGTCTCTGACAGAGTATTGTATTTATTGTTCTCTCTCTGGCTAAGGCAGGAAAGGACTGCAGCTGAGGTAGGTCACCCAACTGTAAGGCACAAGCATATTGGAAAGGCAGGAGTAATTATTAACAAGTCAGCTACAGCAGATTTACACATGTGAGCCTGCTGAGCCTTCCCAGAACTCTGTACTGCATATCTAGAGTCTTGTCACCTGCAGGCACAGAACCTCCAAGGGGATTCCCCAGATCTGCAGGATTTCGGCCTGATTCAGTCAATCATTTATGTGCAACCCAAGGAACATGAAGGAACAGATGAACTGGCTGAGCTCAGGCAGCTGGGAAGCTCAAGTGTGTTGAACAGTGTCAGCAGAGAGAACGGCTGCACATTTCAAGCTCCTGCCAAAAGCCTCCTCTGAAATCACCCACTGCAGCACTTTGGGCACATCAGCACATTTCTGCCACAAAATGCATGACAGTCTGCAACAAACTGAACTTTTACCCTTTCCCAAATAGGAAAGGGCCCAGAATTTCTGAAGTTGCAAGGAGGCTTGATTTATATGTCTTATGATATTCAGTAATACCTAAAACTAAGTCAAAAACTTGAAATAGCAAAGTAGACCTCCTACGTACATGGGTCAACGTGCTGTGGGTTTACTTCTTTTATTAGCTGCAGAAGATTGTGACTACATAATCTTTAATATCTTTATAACTTTCAAAATCAATGAATACAACCTCTGCTTATTTCTGTTGTTGTTTAATGGGTCTCAGTAAATGGCATCTCTTCCTTACATATAAATTTTATAATAACATATTGTTGCTTCCCAACCAGTCCCCGTATTTTGTTAGGAAACAAAACTTGGAATTTATTACTCAGTTCCTTGATACCATGTAACAACACACCTTCCTTACCAGAGTGTGACACATCTTCCTGCTCTTCCCATGTGTGCACAAAGGGAATGTAACCATTTCAGCTACACAGATGTAACTGTTGTAGCACAACTGACTTTTACAGAGAGGATTTAACATCCCACCTGGTGAAGAGAAAGTTGTGTGAAGACCTCATTGCAACCTTCCAGTATCTGAAAGGAGCCTACAGGGAAGCTGGAGAGGGACCCTTCATCAGGATTTGTAGTGACAGGACAAGGAGTGATGGGTACAGATTGATAGAGGGGAAGTTTAGGCTGGATATTAGGAAGAAATAGAGTGGTGAGATATTGGAACAGGTTTCCCAGGGGGCTGTGGATTCCCCAACCCTGGCAGTGTTAAAGGCCAGGCTGGACAATTCCTTGAGCAACCTGATCTAATGGGAAGTGTCCCAGCCCATGGCAGGGGGAGCTAGGACAAGATGGTCCTTAAGGTTCCTTTCAACCCTTAACATTCCATGAATGAAACATCCCCTCACAAAGTATCTTGAAGAGATCAATGGATAAATAAAAGCCTATCATCAAAGTGACAGGAATGTTATCCATTTCTAAGAGAAACTATCTTTTTTTTTCACTAATGGCAACTCCAAACCACTAATCTTCCTTACAATTCCACTGACTTTAACTCAGTGGGTTAGAGTACGGTGCTAATAACACCAAGATTGTGGGTTTGATCCCTCTATGGACCATTCACTTCAGACTAGATGATCCCTGGGTCCCTCACAACTCAGAATATTCTGTGATTCTGTGACTTCTGTTGTGTTTTATCATATGCATGCCCAAACATATGGGAATGATGGGTATCTGACTCCATTGACTCAGAAGGCTGAACAAATTGCATTATTAAAACTATACTATATTATATTAATACTATGTTAAAACTATAATAAAGAGATACTGAAGAATACTAAAAAGATACTAAAGAAAAAAACATTACTGTCTCCAGACAGTCAGGACACAGCTTGGACCTCATAGGCCAATAAATATGAACAACCATCACCAGAACCCAATTAAGAACTCAATCTCAGTAAACAATCTCCATAACACACGTGCAAAAACAACAGGAGCAGAGAATAGAGATAAGAATTGTTTTCCTTACTTGGTTTATGCCACACAAAAGGTAAATTGTTAGTAGAGGATGACATTTTGGTTACAAAACTTCAGTCTTGCATTCAAAGCGGCTCTTAGGAAATACCCGCCTGTTTACTCAAATTCATTTTTAGATAGTCCTTTTAAACTCTTACCAAAAATGTGTCACTGTGTGAGAATGACCAGATGCACAACTGTATTAAAACTACAGTTTAATTGGATAATTTTTTCGCCCACTACTGTCTTGGGCCCTTGATGGACCTATTTCAGGGATAAAAACTTGCAGTACATAGCCCAGGCAAAGTGTTATACCTTATCTGATATGATCAAAAGAAATGTTTTTCAAATTTTTGCCTCATTGTGAGATAATAATGTTAACATTGAGTTTTAAAATTTAGCTTACCATGCATTTTAAAAGTCTGTTCAGCTCTCATTAACAAAATTATTATTTCTCTAGTTTATTTCATTTTAGAGAACAGCAGAAGTCCTGAATGAGTCAGAGTAAGGCATTCCTGTCCCCAGCCTCCCAATTGCAAGTGTTATTGGCCCATATTTTTCTGACTCTGCACCCAGGCTCAAATACTTTTAACATATTATTTGAAAGGCAACAATAAGCACAAAAGTATGAAAGCTTGATAAATTCTCCCCTCCCACCCCACTGCCCCAAGAAGCGTCAGCAAGAATGTAACTGAAAGTTAAGGAAGGGAGAGTGGGGGGGAAAGACACAAAATACACAGGAAAAAAGAAAAATATTTCCCAGGCGGAACTCCTGGCCTGGGGATGCCTCCACAACAGCATGCATTTAAGAATTAACTTTGCTACATAAACCAGTATTACCCAGCCTTTTCTGTGTGTGGCTGTGTACAGCGAGGGTTTGTACTTCACTGTTTTTTTTGGCAAAGGTTCGTATGCTCACAGCCTTGAGTAAACATTGAATCCAGCTATGCAGTCCTGATCCTGAACCCTTGTCTGCAGGAGCTCCGGGCACTCGGCATGAAAACAACCTGGGTGACATCCACAGCTCCAGTGCAGACCAGGCAGCTCCTGACACAAGGCACCGTGCTTGGAAGAAAGTCACTCCTTCATTTAGGAAGATTTCAGATGCTTCACACTTGATTTGCTTTTTTTTTTTTTTTGCCAGCACAATGAAGGAAATGTCCTGCTTCTGCTTGGCTTTTTCTTCCTTGTTGGAACAGATGGTGAAGGCTTACAAATACGTGACTGGTATTTTTTTAGTGACTCATAGCTCAGAGCCACAGGTTTCAGATGCTGTTAAGAAGCTCACCAGGATGGATGTAAGCATGCTTGAGGAGCAGTATGACCATATAAAACAGAAGCAAAAACTGCAACCACACATTATTGTATATAAAACAGGTACGCTTCTCTTTGTAGAAAAAAAATGCCTATGTAATGTAAAGATTATTTCTTTAAATCTCTAATAATACTTAGTTTGTTCTTTTTGTGTTCAGCTTCAAGAGATGTAGAAGTGAATTCCTTTTCTGTCATTTTGGGTTTTTATTTGTTTTGTTGAAAGGTGGTTTTGAATTTACATCAATAAGCTTCCTGTCAGTGAAATATTATTATGTATTTGAAACAGATGAACATATTTGAGGTAAGGTTTTACAGGTTTTATATCAGTAAAATAAAGTTCTAAACATAAACAGTAACCTTTACAGTAACCATGTTGTTCATGTCTATGATAAGTGTACTTGTGCAATGTACTCTGTAATATTTCTGCTCTCTTGAATGCTTCCATCAGAACCAGCAATTCTGGATCATCTTTCTCTTTTTCCCTTCTCTATCTGTGTAAAGAAAGACTACAGGAAATAATGGCAAATATCAAATAACAAGCACAAGCTGGGGGGTTGTTAAAATATAACTTTAATTGAAATTCATAGTGGGTAACTAAGATACAAGTTTTGAACAAAAGCTCCTGTTTTGAAACTATTTTCAGTGCATAGTGCTTGGAAAGTGCACAAATAGAAAAACAAGTAAGAATATGTATCACTCATCTACCTGCCATGTCAAACAGATTTTATATAAGAAACTTGCAATTATTTTAAAGTTTTGAGTTAGACTACTGCTGACAATACTACACTGACACATTAGCTTTCCAAGTTAAAGTGATATTGAGAATACTAAGACAACTAATGAAGTTGTCTTCTGAATTTAATTTTAATATAAACCCCATGCTTCATTCACCTCTCATATTAGTATTTAGCTCAACAAGTGTAGGACTTAGAATATTTCATTCTTTACATTTTCCTCTACATTTTTCAACAGTTCTAGCATTTGGCTATGTAAAATTTCATGATCAAAACAATCAGAAAAAAACCCCATGTAATCATGAACTATACAACAGATTTGCTTATTCAATATTCTTTCATCCAAATGTTTTGAAATTCTCATGTTAAAAGAATTAAAATCTCTGTGAGGAAGAAAAACATATATTTACAAGCTTATTTTATCAGGCATCAAAAAAGCAGCTAACTTGAAGACAAAACAGCCCATCTAATCAGTTATAGCAAAAATCCGTTAGTTATAGAAAGGGAGCAGAAGCCTTTATTCAGATTAATTCAAATGAAGTTTCAGATATAATGAATGTAATTAGAACAGGTTTTTTGCAAGGACATTTTTAGATGAAGATTAAAATATGTAAGAAAGTAGAACTGCACAAGATTCTGGGGAGTTTAAAATGTAGTAGGGCTAAAAATCCACATACAAATATTTTTATATACGTGCACATTCCCCAAAACATTCACAAAACCACATAACCTGCTGCACTTAATTTCTACCTTCAAACAACCAGTGTGAAAAGAATTCATGTCATTGTAAGAAACAGTCAGAATTTGGGCATTTTTTGTTATACTGAGTTCTCAAGGTCCTAAAAGTTTATCTTACACATTCCTGTGGAAGCTGGGAAAACTTAATACATGGCTCAGCACTTTGCACCTGTCACATGCATCAGTTTTCAGGAAAATGTGGAGCAGAAATGAACATTGCCATATCAGGACTGCCCTATACCATCCTGAAATTCCAGGTAGTTCCAAAAGGCAGTCCATGTATGGATCAGTGATTTGCACTGACAGGAAATTGTTTTACCCTAGAGGGTAAAATTATGGCTGTGCTGGGAAAGGGGTGACAACAACAGCACCACCACAAACCCCACACATACACACAAACCTCAAAGGTCACACACAAAAAACCCTTATGGAAGGAGATCACCTTCAGCTCCTTGTGGTCTTAAAAGACCCTGCCAAAGGTTTTTGTTCTTACCAGTAAAACCCTGCTTTGCTCCTGCCTGGCACAGCTGCTGTCCTTCCATGGAACCACAGGGATTTTGAGCACTGTAGGTTTGTTGCACCACGGTTGGAATGGTAATTCCAAGTTTTCTGGAGGACTTTTAGCTTTGTATGTCACTTCCTGTCTGCAGAAGTCATGAAATTTTGGACCTTTAAACAGAACTTAAGATCCTTTAACTTCTCTATTTTTTTTGGACAGAGGGGTTAGTAACCAAGAAATCACCTGAAAACAACTTTGTTCTGTTTCTTCCCCAATACACACAGCCACATTCATGCTTCTGCCCACTCCTGATTGTTTGAGAACAAAGACCATGAGAAGATTTGAAAGGCACCAGTTAGGGGATAATACAGCAGTGCATTCATTATTTATTGGCTAAGAAGCTGAAAAACAGTATTTACTTTAGGAATTAAGTGGGAGTATTCAGCACATGCAGTCACAACAGAACAAATACTTGGGCTCTGACTGCAGAAATCTCTTCCAAGTATTTCCCAAGCCAACTTGAGATAAGATTAACTTTTGCCACTCCAGAACCTTAAAAGAATCTATTAATGATGACAGCATATGGCCACAGGGTAAACAACTGCGCAACAAGGCACAATTTACATATAAATATAAATATGCAATTTACATGGAGGAAAAAAATAAAGAAAAACAGAAAGAAAGATCTGTATAATTGCAGCTTTCTTGAGAAGTTTGGACAGTGTTGGACGCGTGTTAATTCAACACCCAGTGGTTCAGGACTATCGCATTTCTATCCAAGGTCATTGCTCAATTTTGTGTGCTGCACCTGTAGCCAAGCAAGGAATCAAATCAACCTTGAACTTAAAACCAGTGCACACTATTAAAATTGAAGTAGATTTGTCACTCTGAACTTTCTGATCAGCTCAAGACAGATCATAATTATTCTGATGACCAGTCCACAAGGTTCTAGATGTTCTGATGCTGCCTATCAATGTCAGCCCAGCCAAGAGCACAATTAACACCACAAAACCATGCAAAGGTGCTTCACCTCAGTCTCTCAGTTCTATTTTCTCTTGGTTTTTCTCTCACAGAGAACAAGCCCTAGTTTTCACAGCTTGGTGCTGTTCTGCAGAGCACATAGGGCTCTGATTTGCACGTGGACATTTTTGTAGTCAGCCAAGCTCAGCTTTATTTCTTGGATAAGAAATAGGCACTCAGCTTTACTTCTTGGATGAGGTCCAGTCATAACTTTGATTCTCACTGTTGCATGGTAGAGAACTGTGTATTCTTATGTCTCTGAGTGGTGTCACCTTGAGAAATTCTGTTAGCACACCTCACTGTACAGAGGGATGCACAAACACACCTGTGTCTCAAAACTCTGCACGTGCCTCAGTCTCCTCTCTCCCAGTAACGTGGCATGAGAGCCAGTGTGGTCTGACACAGTCCTCCCTCCCAGCCATGCTGCAAAACATCTCTTATCAGATCAACCCTTCATGGCCAAGGAGCAGAAAAAGTTCTGTGATATTATGCTGGGGTTGTTGTTTTGGCAGTGGGAGAGAAAGGCAGCAGTGAAAGCCCTTGCTTAGCAAAATCCCTGTTTTACAGGTTCATTTACTGCCAGTAAATCAGCTGGGTCTGACATCTCCTAATACATATTTGTAAAGATGACACAAAAGGCAGCTGTAAAGCAGAGGTTGTGCTGTTGGGTTTTTGTGCAGGGAAAAAACTGCCTACTCCTACTCAAACTAGCCTAATTTCAAACTCAGGGTTGCAATCCTTTTAAAACAGTTGTTCAGAGACACTCAAAATATAATCAGCACTCCTCTATGTCTACTTTTCTCCCCTTAATGTGTTTCAGAACTTACACTGCTACAGACACAGTCACTATAAGTCAACCCTGTAAATAAGGCCAGCATTCTGTAAACCCCTACTTTATATTTATACCATCTGAAGTATATCGAGTAGTGTCAGTGAATTATCTTTAGTGTAATAGATCAGTTTCTGTTCATTTTCAAGACACAGAAAACCAGCCATGTCCAGCAATTTGATGACTGCTACACATAATTAAAGTAGCATTAATATCTTTATCTATCTAATATCTTAAACATTTTTAACATTAACTTTCATAGTGCTTTAGAAATTAAGCTTATAGGGGTAGAAGAATAAACAAAAAAGGAGACCAGAATCTCTCCAGCTGTTACAGCTATACCATTCACAGAGGAAGCAGATTCCTCTAAGTTATCATTCAAGAAAAACTAGTGTCATAAGCTATTTATACAATTTATTCCAACTGGAATAGTTAAATTGCAGTAAAATATTAAAATACAAGCCTATAATGTTAATGATCCCTCATTCAGAAAAAGAAGACATTCACAACTTGTTTCATCTGGAAATAATCACAATATTATTAAGCTGTGAATACAAACTTCAAACAGAACATTTTTGTCTTTCAAATTACAGCACTTGCCAACACACTGAGCAAGTCCCTACTCACCTTAAGAAGTTTTGCTTACAAGCAATTAATTACTGAAAGTCAATTCTCAATCTGTGCTGTTAATGAGTCTTAGAGTACCAGTTAGATCAATATTGTCTTGACAAATTTCCATTTTGATTTGACTAAAACTCAGATACCATTTATGCCCTCAGAACTGCAAAAGCAAGCATGAAATAGTTCTACTCCTTAACCTGGCACCAAAAAAACTTGCACTACTCTCAGCCACTGAAAGAAAGAGCAGTTTAAACTCATGTTGAAGCTTTTCAGATGAGTTAATGCTGCAGAAACCATACCCTTGATTTTTGCCACCATAATAACATGCACAAATGCATTTCTCCTGCAGGTGGACATGAATCTGCTCTGCCAGAATCAATGATCAACCCTGTTCTAATTAATAAGAAAGTTAAAAGATCAAAGTCATGTAGAGGAGATGTCCCTGTCAGAAAGGTCCCACTGGAGACAACCAAGGGCGGCGGCTCAGAAGAGGATTTGCTATGGCGCGTCCACCTGGGCAGGCACCGCCTGGGGCAGGCCCTGGGACAAGGAGGTTCCTGGGATCTCTCCCACTGCAGCAGCACACCATGGAGTTTTGACAACCAGAGACTGATTTCAAAGGGAAATGGCACACTGCAGACCGAGGAATCAGCAGGAGCAAGTGAACTGGCTGAGCTCAGGCAGCTGGGAAGCTCAAGTGTGTTGAACAGTGTCAGCAGAGAGAACGGCTGCAACATTTCAAGCTCCTGCCAAAAGCCTCCTCTGAAATCACCCACTGCAGCACTTTGGGCACATCAGCACATTTCTGCTACAAAAGGCATGCCAGCCTGCAACAAACTGAACTTTTACCCTTTCCCAAATAGGAAAGGGCCCAGAATTTCTGAAGCTGCAAGGAGGCTTGGGTTGTATGTCTCACAATGAGGACATTCAGTAACACCTAAAACTTAGTCAAAAACTTGACTAAAACTTAAAATAGCAAAGTAATCCTTGTAAATACACAGATCAACCTGCTGAGGTTTTACTGCTATTATTAGCAATGGAAGATTCTGACTATAAAACCTTTAATATCTTTATAATTTTTAACATGTGATTTCATTGTTCACTTTCAAGATACTCAAGATAATTTCTGATGCATTTTTAAATCAATTAATAAAAACTCTCCTCATTTCTATTGTTGTAATGAGACTTAGTAAATACATTTCCTTTATGATACATAATTTTTACCATAATATATTTTTGTTTCCCATTTATCATCAGTGTTTCATTAGAAAACTAATGAGGTCTCCCCTTCTTCAAGATCTTTAGAGGGAGGAGACCCTTTCTTGCAGGTGCTTTTCAATGACACAAACAGGATCTTTGTATCACCCACTTCTGGCTGCAAGTGTTCAGACATGCCTCCATTTCAAATGTAGTCTTCACAAAAATTGGAGATGGAAAATGTCTCCCTATTTCTTGATGGGTAGCCTTGGGACATCATAGTAACTGGGTTTTTTCTTCACAGTAGTTAAAGTATTTAAAGAAGGATTAAGAAGGGGAAAAAAATAAAGAATAGATATACCTAATAGATATAACAAGGAGAAATACTAGATAACAATTAGTCCACAAGAAATGAGAAATTACCTGCAAGGAAATACTTCAAAAACTTCATTGTCCTTTGGCTGATTTAGTTATCTTAATTAAACACGGACCTTGAAAACTTTGGTTTTAAAGTCAGTGCAGGTTTATGCATGGACTAAATAACTAACTCCTTTGTAAACTCTTTCATACAAACACTTTGTCCTTTCCTCAGGCTTCTCTAGGATATTACTGTGCTTTGTACTGCTTGGAACTAATTTAGAAAACGCATTTTGCCTTTGGAGAATCTTTCAATTTAATTTCCAAGGACATTATTAAAGAGCATTTTCATTAAGTTTTCACTTGTTAGTGGGGTAGTTTCAGTTGTGAGAAAAGTTGCTATACTAACATTTCAAGAGACTGGAATATTACACATACACAATTGTCTAACAAGAAAATTACAGGGTTTTTTTCCTAAAGTAGCTGTAGTGAAAATGAAGCAGAAAAATAAGAAAAGAGCCTAAAACTTCAAATACTAGGAAGTCCCACTTCTGAAAGGCACCTGATCTGCAAATCCTTTCCTGTTAACTTCTTCATGTTTGGCCATCATGGGCAGGAGCTGTCACCACAGATGTAGTCAAGTTTCAAGCACTGAACTCAAGACTGCCATAAAGCAAATTTACTCTATCAGTAGGCAAGCCTTACTGATTTATGCACATGGGAGAACATGGAATCCTGAAATTCTAGTTCAGTGTCATGCTCACAAGCCCATAATCCCTCTGAGGTTCCCATTTCCAAAGCTGGAAATGTGACTCTCATGGCAGTTTGCCTGACTTCCTAAGGAAAATGTTAGGACAGTCCTGCAGGTCCATCCATTCTAGAATAAATCACACTGCTGAGCAATTATTTCAGTCACACATAAATAAAATAGAGTAAAACAGAATGAAATCCCTTTGCTGCTGGGACAACATGCTGCTGGTCACATGAAAGACTTAGCCCACATGAGTTACTTGCAACTGGTGTTACCCATTAAAAGAAAAAATTGTCTTTTAGAGGCACCAAAAAAAATTCCAGGAATGAGCCTCAACTCACTGAGGACCTCAAATATAAAACACAGTATTGAGCAGCCATGTTGTACTGCCAAATCCCTGAAGCTTTGCTCCCTGCTCCCATTCCCAGATATTTTGGGGACTGAAAGTGACACTGGAGCACTGCCTCAACCTGAGCTGGTGTTCAGCACCAGGGGGTGTTTAGCACCAGGTTTTCCACACCCCTCATGGATTCTTCCAGCCCAGTCTCTGAACCCAGGTTAACTTCTGACAGCCCCACAACCAGGCAAGACCCTCTCTACCCCCACTGATGGGGAAATACAAACTCCCATGCTAAATCTCACCTGCAACACTGCTGCCTTCAAAAAACAGAGAAAAAAAACCCAACCTGCACATCTCTGCCTCACACACACAGAGGTGGCAGGTGAGGGGTGGCTGCAGAACCCTCACCCCCAACCCAAACCCAGCCTGTCCCGTCCCTCAGGCAGCCTTGGGGACCCCCACCACATTCCATGGATGAGCCATCAGATGCTCTGGAGCCAGAAGGTCTTGCTGTTGTCACATTAACTAGTGTGCAACAAGCCAATAATTACACATCTGAGTGAGACATTATTTATTTTGGAGTTGTACAAGCCTGGGTGCTGGTGGTCTTCCACAAATCAAGCACACCCACTATCAAAACATTTTACTATTTACTTTTTTACTATTACTATTTATATTACTATTTACTTTTTACTATTTATACATTTTAGCAAACAAAGCCATTATTGTTGATCTGCTACAAGTTGGATAGGTATTTTCTTAATTAGCATTCTATCTTCTACTGGTTAATGATTCTCTCACTTCTTATGCTAACAAGCACTTTCTCATCTTTGGAGCTTGTGGGTTTCTTGGGTCAGTTGTTGTGATGTTTCCCTGCCAGAATCACCTTTTACCCAGTTGGAGCTGATTTCAGCACAGTTACTGAGTTGGTTTTATTTATTTCTTCCTTATCTTGGAAGTTCTGCCAAATGTCCTTGTGGCTTGTAAATTCTGCATTCTTTGTGTCCACTATCAGTAGTAGCTCCTTCTTCCCAAGCTCTGTTAACCTTCCCCAAGGTCTGAGATCATTGAAACATGTCGAACCCTAAACCTTAACATGGCAATCCTACCAATAATTTATTTATTTTTCCAACAACTGGGTGTCACTTAGAACTTGTAAGTTGCTATTTCATGGGTTATATCTCACAGAATCACAGAATGGCTCAGGTTGGAAGGGGCCACAGCGGTCACCTGGTCCCACCTCCCTGCTCCAGCAGGGCCATCCTAGATGGGACAGGATTGTTTCCAGATGGTTCTGGAATATCCCCAGTGAGGGAAACTCCTCAGCCTCTCTGGGCAAGCTGTTCAGTGCTCAGTCACTGCTCAGGGGAGAAGTTTTCCTCATGTTCTGGTGGAATTTCCTGTGCCCCAGCTTCTGCCTGTTACTTCTTGTCCTATTGCTGGGTGCCACCAAGGAGAGCCTGGCCCATGCTCTTGGCACATCTCTTACACATGGATGGGGTAAATCTCCTAAATCTCCTCAGGGACAGGATAACAGGACAGGGCCATGCTCCTGGCACCTCTCTTACACATGGATGGGGTAAATCTCCTCAGGGACAGAACAGGACAGGGCCATGCTCCTGGCACCTCTCTTACACATGGATGGGGTAAATCTCCTCAGGGACAGAACAGGACAGGGCCATGCTCCTGGCACCTCTCTTACACATGGGTGGGGTATCCCCTTAGGGACAGGATGACAGGACAGGGCGTTAAGCTGTGCCAGAGAGCTGTGGTTGGATATTTGGAGGAATTTCCTCATGGAAAGGAAGATTAGACACTGGAATGACAGCCCAGGGAGGCAGTGGGTCACAGTCTCTGCAGATTTTAAGTAAAGACGGGAACACGGCAATCAGCACCACGGCCTGCCTGACATGGTGACGTTCCGCCATATGTCAGACTCGATGACCTCAGAGCTCTTCCCTAGCCTAACTGACACTGTGATTCCGTAATTCCTTTCTTTTTCACTAGTCTTGAAGCAGGCAGCGACCAACCACCGCAGCACCCCCGACCCAAGGGAACTCTGCCACACTGCGCGCCCGGCAGCAGCGGGCACGCCCCGCTGCCTCCGAGTGAGGGCAGGGCGGCCATGGCGGGCGGGGCGCGGCTTCACTCACGTCACGCCCGCCTCCCTGGGCCTTCCGGGCTGCCGTAGGAGCCGCTGCCCATCCTCTCCCTCAGGGACCGCGGCCCGAGCCTTCCTCCTGCCGGGAAGCAGCTCAGGGAGCAGCTGCGTCGGCCCCGGAGCTTCCCCCGGCGGCGGCGGCTGTGCCGAGCCCGTGGGGCGCAGGTGGGTGCCCGGGGCCGGGGCCGTGCTGGCTGCCCAGTGCCAGCGGGGCACTGGCGCTGCCCCGGCACGGGAGGCGCTGGAAGCGCTCCTGGGGAGGGATGAGGATGCCCGGGCCCGCAGGGATGGAGCTGCCGTCCCTGAGGGTTTGTCCGTGAGGCTGTTTCAGTGCTTCCCCTCCGCCAGCCGCGGGGAAGAGTGTCAGAGCTGTGCTTGCCGGGTTTTTAGGGAAAATCGATGTGTCCTGCTTTATTATCCACCCATTCTGACAGCCCCCTGTTCCTTCCGTGAGCAATTTGCCTTTTGAACCTGGTTGTTGCATCTTAGGTCGCGCGTCTTACTTCTCCACTTGTTTTATTTCACGTAAAACTGGCCTAAGAGGGTGACATTTTATTTACAACAGCTGAGTCTTGCATTAAGAGCGTTGCTGGGGAAATTCCCCGGTTGTTTACCCCAGTGAGTTTTGAGAAAGTCCCTTTAAACTCATAGCGAAAGTGAAATTGCCTCAGGAGCTCTTGTGCGTTTCATGGTTGATGGAAGAGTAAGTCACAAATGTTTTTGCTATGGATTCTAATGCAATTTAGTGATGGAATTTTTTATTATAAGTGTTAGAAATGTTACATATAAAATCATAGGTTTCATGCTTGTGAAAGCAAAAGTTTTATTTTTTAAATAGAGTGTTAGTAAGAATAAGTTTAATTGAAGACTGCAATAGTGTTTTCTGTTTTGATAGATTAATTAGAAATCACAAACTTACCAAGCTATAGTATTGATAAACAGGTGAATGACCAGTTTATAAATGTCACCTGTATTTACAATTCTTAGTCTTAAGCATAGATTGCAATTTTAAATTTTATCTGAGTGACCCAAAACCATGAGTAACTTTTTTTGCAAAAGTTTAAGCAGAATTGTGGCTGTAAAATGGGTCTTCAGCATAACTTAAAAGGGGGAAA